TCAGGCATAGGAGGAGGAACTGGAATGCATGTCTAACTGCCTCCTTTGTCATGAGACCAGAAGAACTGGATGGAACCTAGCTACTGTTACTGAACATTTTGATCAAAGATTGTATAGAAGAATCCTGATCAATAGTTGGGAGATGCAGAAGAGAATTTTAAATTCTCACGGACTCCAGACTTTCTGGAGCCATGGGAAGCTGGATAAACCCCTGAAACTACTGCCCTAAGATAATCTTTAAAACTTAAACCAAAAATATCCCCTGAAGTCTTTTTAAAATCAAACAATAGTTTAGCTTAACTAGTAAAGAACGTCTGCCTTGAACATTGTGCTATTTTAAGAACTGTCTATACGGGATCAAAATGACAAGAGCAACTCGAAAGACTAGATAGGAACCTTATGGGGCAGTGAGTTTATGTTAATGGGGAGGAACAACTCAGAAAAGGAGGGTGAGAATGGTGCACAACTCAAAGAATGCAATCAGTGTCACTGAACTGGACATGTAGAAACGGCTGAATTCATCTATGTTTTGCTGTGTATGTTCTCAGCAACAACAAAATTAAAAACTCTGGTTTCTGAATTTGTAACACCAGAGACCACATGTTTACCCACAATCTCCTCTGGCAGCAAGCTGCTTCAGTGCAGAATTCCTGCTGTGGGATACAGACAGGTGTTGGTTTTCCATTCCAGGACTCAGAGCTCTAACTGCTGGATTTTATTTATTTGTCTCCAGCTTACTTCCTTTCTCTCTTGTCAGAGTGACTTCTACTATCTGCCCATATCATCACTTCTAACCTCTGCCAAAAATCTGTTATTTTTGCTTACCTACTACTTTTCTTCTTTCCTTCTAAATTTTTTTTATTACTGGGGGCAAAAAAAAAAGATTTGAATTCTGAGGACCTGAGTTGGAGTCCTGACTACCAGCACCTTACCGTGAGGTGATACGCATGAAACCACTTTATAAACTAAATCTAAATGTTGCTTGTTATTACTGCTGCTGTTCTCTTCCTGGCATCAATTGGCAGGCAATAAACTGCATTTGGCCATTTATGGATCTACTGGCCATTTAACCGATTTTGGGTGTTCTCCTGGCTGATACTCAGAATCTGCAACTTTGCACCAAAACTTTTTAAAAACAGCTACTTCTTGACTTTAATCTCCTGTTAAAGCCTGGTGAGGCTGAGGTTTTGCTCTCCAGTCTCACTCACTGACCTATACTTTATTAGTAACAACAAAGTTCTTAAATACATTAACGCTCTGATTACATCATATACAGGTGACATGGAAAAGGTAAAGCAAAGGTTAGGAATCACACTCTTATACACAGCTACTCAGGGAAATTCTCACAATAAAGAAGCATATGCACTGCATGTGCTGGACACAGGCTATGTCACTAAGACACCTTCCAGATGACAGGACCAGTGTTAACAAATATGTATTTATTCTGAGAAAATCACAATCTATTTTGTGTTTGAATTTTAGAAAAAGAAGTATTAGGGTCCAGACTATTAATTTAAGTATGGTTTATGGAATCTTCCTGTAGAATTTTAATGAAAAACAAAAACACAAACCAAATGAGTTGCCATGGAGTCACTTCTGACTTGTGGCAATCCTGTGTGGTGCACACTAGTGCTGCGCTCCACAGGGTTTGCATGGTTGTGATCTTTCAGGAGCAGGTTGCCAGGCCTTTCTTCTGCGGCACCACTGGGTGGGTTTGAATCGTCAATTTTTATTAACAGTTTGTTGCAAACCACTTGCGCCACCCAGAGACCTCAGAGAACCTTAACAGCAACTCTACAATTCAGATTCAATTTAATTAGGACATCTGGGGAAAATTTAGGGGAAAATTCTTCCAATATATGCATGAAATAAAATTTCCAGGGCAATTTTAACTTAAATTCAAACTTTGTATTTTTGTTTGTATTAGTTTCTCTAGTAACTCTGGTTAATTAAAAAAAAAAAAAGATTGGAAATCCATAAGAGTTTAATTAGATAAGTGGTAACCAAATAATGCTCATTATAATTTATCCTTCAGATCCTTTTTAACATTTTTCAGTTCTATACTAAAGATTCAGGACATAAAATATCTTTTTAGCTTTACTTTAAAAATAAAATTAAAAAATTCACTTCTAAAAACAGAATTATATTTATTACTGGCTTAAGAGTACACCACTAGAACAATGTCAATTTTAGTTTGCTTTCCTCGGGCGGAAACTGACCCGACAGCAATGGGCTTCTTTTTTCTTCACTCTGTCAACAAATGAAAATTCAGAGAACCAAGGCCATGGGACACACAGAACGGGACAGAAAACAGGGCAGCTGAGCAGCCACGGGGCAGCTGCAGCGAACAAACCCAGTGTTTTGTCTGTGGTGGCAGATTGAAACTGTTAATCTCTGACCATGTTATTAAGAGTCACTTGCTATGTCTATAAAATGTCATTAGTAGAGATTTCTTCCCTGTAACATGATTTTAAAGGCTAGCATACGACAAATTAGGCCTTCAGTGTAAAAAAACAAAAATAAAAACAAAAAAACTCAGAAACTCAAACAAACACCATATCCCTCCTCAAACAAAAAAACACGAAACAAATGAACAAACCACGGTTTCAGAATTTCTTTTCATGAAATACAAGTTGTAGATTAGATTCTCATGTCACCTGCAGAGTTAATCCCTACCTGATTTTCACAAAACAAATGAACAAACCATGGTTTCAGAATTTCTTTTCATGAAATACAAGTTGTAGATTAGATTCTCATGTCACCTGCAGAGTTAATCCCTACCTGATTTTCAAAACCTGTAGGAAAAAGGCAACAGAATTCTCCAATAGCAACACCTGAAATTAGAAACATCAACCTATACTAGTTCTCAACAATATAGCAGTCTTGAAATCAGCTAAAATTTATAAACTGCTTTTTCAACAAAAGTGAATTCATGTAGGGAAGGATTATAATGCACACCATGTCTTTTTTTCTTCTATTTTTTCAAAAACTATATTATGTTGAATCCTCCTAGACGGACATCTTCCTTTCAAGTATAGAACAATGTCTCATCTAGTGGTTTAATGAACAATCAGATGTACTGAAATCTATCCTTCAAGTCTCATCTTTCCAAAAAGGATAAAAAAGAAATGCTGGGTTTTAAACAGTCACTTTTACGAAAGTATCAAGAGCCTGTGACTATCTTTGTACCTATGTTTTCTGGAGAACTATATTGTTCGCTGCTGAATTAGCTGATACTGCCATTTTTACTGAAAAGCAAAGGAACTTAAGGTATTTGAAAGTTTTAAGAGAAAATTTTGATAAACAAGTTATATGACAAACATACAAATTGGATGTTCTTTTAAGGATGAATAATCTAAGTTTAAATGAATCTAAGATGTAATTTCATATTCTTTTGAATAGGGCAGGTAAGGGCTCAGCTACTAACCGAAAGGCTGGCAGTTTGAACCCACCAGTCGCTCCGAAGGAGAAAGATGTGGCAGTCTGCTTCCAAAAAGATTTACAGCCCTGGAAACCCTATGGGGCAGTTCTACTCTACCCTATGGTTCGCGATGAGTTGGAATTGACCTGATAGCAATGGGTTTAATGTCCAGAATAAAGCAAGTTTACACTACTTTGTTTTTATGTGCCACTATACCTTTAAAAGGCAAAATAATCACTTCCATTTCAGCAATCTGTTTTGGTTACATCAGACTTGATCCACACGCACAGGTCACGAGTGTATATAAACTCTGCATTACAGAGCACGATGACAATGTCCCTGGAAAATTCTGTAACCAGAACTCAGAGAGGCTGTGATTTGAAATCGAGTTCTTTAGAAAAGGTTAAGTACAGACTCTCCATAATTTTCCGTAATGTTTTTAGGAAAGCTCATTAATGATACATGTTTTTCTAAAAAATTAGATTTCTAGACAACTGCTGTTTGGTGTTAAAAGCAACGAAATGTCTAATTTTTTTTCCCCAGGGAAGCTGAGGTTCTGCTGTTCAGTTTCATCATGAGTCTGGTAATGATGTGCAGCTGAATCATTGCTAATTCCAGAGTCAACAAATAAATTAATGCTCAGAAGACAAACTATCGACAGATAAATGGTGCAGGAGGAGAGAATGAATAAGGGCCAAGAAATATATCTAATCATAAAATGAACAAAATAGTAAGCTATTAGAATTTAGGAAGCGTCATTTTATGGAATTTGCTAAGAGTCAAGCTAATTCTGAGTTCAAGTACACTGGTTTAGCTACTGGTACCTCTACTTAAAAAAAAAAGGTAGCTGCAGCATTCAAAATCACGGATAATGCAAGAAATGCACTCATATTTATGTACACAAATAATCCTAATTTGGTAAATAGTCGTGTTGGAATTTTCAATGCCATCACAAACAAGCACGGCTAAGTATCCTGTTAGGTGTTTCAGTTGCTTACACCACACTGACCACATCCAACCTTCATGACCACTCACTCCCTGACAAGGCACAGTTACTGCTCCATTTTACAGGCAGGACTTTAGCTTGTCTGCCCAAGGCCACACAGCTGGTACGTGGCTGGACTGGGACCGACGACGCCTAGGCTGTCTGATCCAAAAGACCCAAGGTCTCAACCACCATTGTCTTCAGTCTGCAAATGTAACTGGATCATTTGATATGCCATCTATTAAAACAACTGACCTTTTAAAGGTCAAGTTTTGATGAATGAAAAATAAGCATTTTACTTTAGATTAGATCTTCATCTCTGTTCTACAGAAAATGAGTATGTGAAAAAGAATAGGTATTCTAAGCAGTTGACGGAAGTTCAGGAGCCATGTACAGAAACAGGGACTGGGCCCACACCATTCCTTATTTAAGGAACTGGGACATATTTAGGTGCTATTCCATCACAAGCACCTCTGGGTAGGTTTGAACTGTACACCTTCCTGCTAGTAGTCAAGAGCTTAACCATCTGCACCCACAGGCAACCCAGAGTGAAGACACTTTACGAACAGTTCTCAGTTTATTTACTTTCCATACCTTCCAGATGTATTCCTCAGTATGGCAAGAGCGTCTGGATAGCCGTCCATGTTGTAGTCCCCAATGTGAAGCGTAAGTGGAATTGATATCTCAGCTGGTCGCTGTTCACGCACAGACGGCACGAAGCCCCAGAGGGTGCCCTTATTGCTGAAATTCTGTAGCACTGGAACCCACTATAGTTTACAGAGAAAAAGATTAGACTTTAGAGTTATTTAGATAAAACAAAACAAAACATCATCTGCAAGACAAATGACATGTTCCATTAAAAAGGTTGATTTCAATGTTAATCTCTTTTTACATAGATAAAAGTCCCCAAAACAAGCATAATTTTTACTTAACATCTTTATCTCTATGATGCTGTAGGGTATCTATTAGAATTTACTTTGGGAACAGCTGACTGATCGTCTGAATAAAAAGAGAGCTTCCTTTGTAATTTATCATTAGTCATCTTCGCTTGAACTGGCACACAGAGCTTTAAAACGTTTTTCACAAGATCATAAACTCTTAGGGTTGAACTGATGTTAATGACCATGTAGGTGAACTGGCCAATTTAAAATTTGTGTTGGATGGAAATATAACATCAAATGAATATTTTAAAACACTAAAGCAAACTGTAATATTATCTAATTCTGATGTCCTTTCAGGAGGACCAATTTAGGGAGAAAATTAGAACATGACAAAGTCTCCCTGGCTAGGCTACGCCTTTTATACGCAAAGATGACTTTAGCCGTCACCCTCAGCGCCAAGCAGCTACAAGGCCCCGAACAGCACGAGGCCTGACGAGCACTGACTGTGACGGACGGGCACGGCTTGGCCCAGAAGAAAAGTTCTGCCACCAAAACGGCAGGAAGCTAAGTTGGTAGTAAATTTCTTCATTTCCATATTGATTATAACGAAAAGAACAGAGAGACTAGGCTGACTTGGAAGTGAGCTTTTGGAACACCCTCTTTCTTCTGATGGCTCAAATCTTCATTTTCTTAATAACATAATGCAAAACTGAAAACCTGAAGAGTAGAAATCATGCCATTAAAATGACAGACGTGCCTGCCTATAATTAGCTAAGAGTAGGAATGCCGGCACATAACCTGGAAATGTCCAAACAACAGCAGGTACAGATGACTGGAAATGGCAGGAGGCCAGATATGCCTGCAGATGTTCTGTCTTATAAACAGGTGACTCATTTATATGGCTCCAAGCCAAACTACGTTAAAAATGGCTTCTTGAAAAAGATCCAGCATACAGGGCACCCCCAACATTTTATAGGCTATCCAAAGAAAAGCATAATTTGCCATGGAAAAATAACCCAATGATAAAGACATACTTACAGGAACTGAATTATTTTAAAAATTGCTCAGCTCCTTTAATCAATTTTTCAGTCTTTCATAAAGCAAAAAAATATTATTTTATATATCATCACACTGTTTTAATGTTCCATTTGACTTTGAAAAAAATTGTTGGTTTTCTTTTGGAGGAAGATAGGAAATTTCACAAAATTCCAAGTAATCACAGATTTCTGAAGAGGTTGACAATTTATTAATGAGGATGAACCACACTGAGATAAAATATTCCTGTTAAGGTAAATGTATGAAGGCCTAAAAACTAAAAAGATTTTTCACTTAATGTGACATCTATAACAATTACTAAAGAGCTGCGGCATTTATATTCCCAGAGAGAGATGAAAGTATTCTTACCATAGCTTGTCACTTAAAGACAGGCTATAATTACAAGGTTTACTTCTACCTATGAAGCAGCCAAGAAGGTACATCCCCCTGGTGATGTCTAGAAAATATTAGAAATTAAGGGGGTGTCTAAATTAATAGAACTGATGCAGATGGAGCTTTTGACTTCCTTACTCTTACCAAGCTAGAATAGCCTAGGGAATCCAAGTCAAATTTATAATATATAATAAATACTGTGAGGTAATGAATCAACTTATAGAGAGCAATTTGGTCTTTGTCCTTGGTTCCTGAGAGATAATCTTTGGAATTTCCTGAGTAACTGACGAGCTTTTTGTTATCTAGGCCTAAAGACTATACCAGATGATTTGTGCTAATGAGTAGGGAGCTGGCCAAGCCAGAAGGACCGACTGGTCGCCTGGTATCAGTGTCCATGTATCAGCTGACCTCAGGGAGGAAGGGGACCATGATTCAATCATTCATATGCAATGAGGTCTCAATCATGACTATTCAATGAAGCCAATAAGGACTTCGGACATGGAAGCTCCAGGAGCTTCCTGGTTGGTGAAAGACATCGATACACATGGGAGGGCAGCGTGTCTTTTTGGGGACAAGGAAGCTCTGTGTTGTGAACCTCCATGGACCTCGTTCCATATGTCTCTCTTTATGCTCATCCTAACTTGTATCCTTCTGCCATAATAAATCTATAATTGTAAGTATAGTACTTCCTGTGAGGTCTGTGAGTCATTCTGGTAAATTATCAAACCCAATGGAGTAGTGGGAGCCAGTAGGTGGAAGCAAGGGAGCCCAGAAGAGGCCCCTAAGCTTGCAGCTGGCATCCTGAAGGGGAAAAGGGAAAACCCTGAATTTGCAGCCAGCAGGTCAGAAATAAGGGTTTTGTGTGGATTCCCAACCTTGTACCTGGTGTGTCTGTCTATTTTGACAGTCTGAAGGATATTATCCTTTTAACTTGTAAGAGCTGACCTAGCTGAGTGGCTACGGACAGACAGAGAAAGCACTGAGTGGGCAGCTGGTGTCAGAGAGAACTGAAAAGTGGGAAAGTGGGGTTTGATTAATCATTGCATTTTGGGGACTAGATTTATGTTGATTTTTATCTACAAACACACCAAAACACAAAATATGAATCTAACAGAATGGTCTCCACTATTTTACTTTTATTAGAAAGAGGTAAATGAAAACACAAACAAAAATAATAACAACCAAAAAGATGAAAAAATAAAAAAAAAAAGAGATTCTTATCAGGGATTGATTTTAGAAAACAATTCTTAGGATATATCCTATTATTACCATATTTTGTCTCTAAATTTACTTTTTCTAGCCACAGGAATACAATATGTCTCTTGATCATCAAGTAGTTTCAATTAGACTCAGTATTTTACACTTTAGAAAGGAAGTTCCTTTGTTTTTGTCTGTATATTTTCAGTTTCTTTGGTCTGCAAACTACCAAATTTTTATTTTAGTGAGTTGCCGAGGTAAAATAAATCAGAAATTCATTAAATTAGAAAGCAGTCTGTTGAAGGAGGATCCACCAGAAAGCTCAGATACAAAGTACCACATGTGTTTTTGTAAGTGGGGATTCTAAAATTCTTGGAAGTTGATTTCTCATTTTTCTATCCCAAGCAGAATATAATGCTGGTCTTCAAAAATCAGAAGACAATCCAGTTATGTATTTTGATAACTGAAGCATGAAAAAATAACTTAGCTTTGCAAAGCATTTTTAAAAGTGTTTCATATGAATCAAAATTAAATACTGCTGGATACATCAAGTGCTTTCATAGTACTTGATAGGGGGAAGGGACTGAGTAAGTGTTAGCATCATTTGGAAAAAGAAAACACGCTGACATACCTGCTTCGTTCCGGATTTTGCTAAGTAGACGGTGCTTTTCTGGCAGTTTTCATCTTCACAGCCTGGCAGTAAGTGATCTGCATGTCCGTCTCCATCTGCCGAAAGAAACCCCAAAAGGTCATTAACAGCCACAAAATAAAGTGTTCTTGTTTGGCAGATTAAATTTCCTATTTGTTCAAAGTCACCATTAATCTGGATAAAGCTGAAGAATTTGACACAAGACTTTGTAACGAATGTGATTCATTTTTTAAAAATTACTCTGGCCCTTGCTACTTACTATTTGGACTGTCTTCTTTTAAGTTGCACACTTTTCTGTGGTTGAATACTTATCCAATGTGGGAAAAAGAACCCCTTTTCGAGCTTTCATATTAAAATAATAAATTTTAAGAAATGTTACTTTTGATTTATTTACATAAATACCCTTGCTAACATAGGAGAAACATAAACATGTCATTATTATATGGCTTATTTAATGTGAAACTTTATCTTGATACAAACTTTTGCTAAGTGTCTTTACACAGCATAAACCTCAAGAGTTTTTTTGTAAGCACCTTGGCTTCTGAACACCCCCAATAAATAGTTATCAATAAAAAGGCAAATGAAGGGAATACAGACATCCTTTCCAGCTGCCTGCTTTTTTAAAAGGCTGCACGCTCTTTCACGAACACCTCTAGAGGTGAGGATGCTGAGGAACTTGGAGTCAGCTCCTCCGGTGCTCCCTCCGATCTGCTGCTTCTACATCCCACCCCCCATCCGATGGGCTTTACAGACTCTGACATCCTAGAGTTAAAAATCTCTTTACAGGTATATTCACAATGGAGTTGTCACCTAGGTTTTAAACTTGGGGCCTGACTGTTGCTTTAATCTTTGATTTATTTGCTCTAGTTTAACTTGTACATATACATATTTTTTAACTTTTTTAAATTGTACTTTAGGTGAAGGTTTACAGAACAAATAGTTTCTCATTAAACAGTCAGTACACATATTGTTTTCTGTCATTGGTTAACAACCCCATGACGTATCAGCACTCTCCTTTCTAGATCTTGGAGGACCTTTTTTTTTTTGGTGAAAATATACATAGCCAAAGATAAACCATTTCAAAGATTTCTACATGTACAATTCAGTGACATTGATTATGTTCTTCCAGTTGTGCTGCTATTCTCACTATCCTTTTCCAAATTATTCCATCACCATTGTCTTCAACTCACTGTCCCTGAGGCTTCCCATCAAATCTATTGAGTTGCTGTTGTCAATCTGACCTCACACAGATAATTTGTTTTTTGTACTTTAGATGAAGGTTTACAGAACAAAATAGTTTCTCATTAAACAGTTAGTACACATATTGCCCTATGACAATGGTTAACAACCCCACGACAT